TTTATTATAGAGACCCAAAAAGGAAACCAAAAAAGGGTTAAAGGTCTTCCATCGGCTAAGTAAGGCATACAGCACACCCACATCACTATAGCCTTCATTTCAGGATTACAAAAATATCTGCCCGGAGCACATCATGCTGCAGCACCAGGGAAAAGCGGGAATACTCTTCGCGCTGAGTTCTGCTTCTACGTTACGCACACCTACCCCAGCCTGTAACCTTGTTTTTGGTGTTGTGCCTAGGTGTTTTGCCTACATGTATAACCCTAAACCCTAAATCCCTAAACCCTAAACCTTTAAGGGTATGTTCTTTCAACTATGAATGGGAAGAAGTTGTGACCAGGGGAAGACGAGGAGGGGTCCAACCAAGAATTTCATCCTCAAGGACCACTCTCTTGGGGCTATATAGGGATAATGGAAAAGAAAACGGAAACTATTATACTATAATAGGGATTATAGAGGGATTATGTTAAGCCTAAACTCCTAAACCCTAAACCCTAAATCCCCAAACCCCTAAAACATATTGGGGTCATATAGGGATCCAAGGGGATGAAGGGTATAGGGTTTAGGCTTTGAGGAAGTCTCGGTGGTGATGTTTGTGGTAGTACTCTCTGGTCGGTTCTGGTGACGAAGCCTTACCATCTACCAGAACACAAAACATGAAAACAGCACCCTCACCAGTACTAGCATGGATACCCACATGAGCCCCCTGCTGAAAGGCAGTCTTTGTGGGACCGTTTGTCGTGTTTCCATTAACATGTCGAATCCTGGCAAGGTGCCAGGTCTGTAGTGTCGCCCGTATTGAAAGCACGCTTGGCCGAGGCCTTCATGCGGCCGTTCTCAAAGGTGTAGGTGACGTCTGTGAGGTCCTGTCAGGGAGCAGCATTGAGAGTGGAGGGGCTGTCTTGCAATTTGGCTTGCACACCGTCTTGTGTAGAGAGTGCGGCATCGTAGGAGGTGCCTCAAGGCTTAGGAGACTTCAGCATCGAGAGTTGGGGTGCAAGTCGCTTCTGGCTTGGAGTTTTCGAACGGGGTTTCCACCGGATCGCAGACCAAGTGCACAAGCCGTAACCAAAGCAATCATCTGAACAAGAACGGAAAGTTACAAACACAGACTTTGTGCAATCACCCATCGCGGGGGGCTGCTTGGAGTGTAGAAATACCTACTTAACGGTGGCACCAGGTTGGCTTGTGTAACTAACACCACATGCAAAGGACAACAATAGCAACAAGCTTGCTAAAAACATGTTGAAAATGTCCTGCTTCTGGTCGATCACGATGTTGTAGCCGTTCAAGTTGCACTGCGACAGGCTGAGCGCCACGCCCTTGTGCATCTGCGTGAGACCTTTCGCACAGAATTTCTGCCCAAGGCACTGGTAGGCACCGCAGGTGCCACAGGCACCGCAGGCTGCTCCGCAAGCTCCGCAGGCTCCACAGGCGCCACATGCACCGCATGCACCGCAGGCACCGCATGCGCCACAAGCACCACATGCACCGCAGGCCAGCCTGCGGCCTGCTCCGCAGGCTGTGCCGCACGTGGCTCCGCAGCCGGCACCGCAGGCTGCACCACAAGCTGTTCCACAGGAAGCTCCGCATGCTGCACCGCAGGCTGCCCCGCACGCCGTGCCGCATGCCGTGCCGCATGCCGTGCCGCATGCCGTGCCGCATGCAGTGCCGCATGCCGTGCCGCATGCCGTGCCGCAAGCTGCTCCGCAGCCACCCCCACACGCACCGCATGCTCCGCAGGCCCCGCCAACCGGGCAAGTGCCCAGGAAAGTGCCACATGAGCCGCAGGCAGCACCGCAGGCTGCGCCACAGGCTCCACAGGCAGTGCCACAAGCAGCGCAAGCGCCGCAGGCTGAGCCGCAGGTTTGGAGCTGTCTGACCGCGAGTTTCTTGGTGCCGGCAGGGCGGCCAGTCCTGCACGAATGTGTAAAGTAGCATTAGGATGGGAACTTCCCGTTTTGCAATAACAATCTGCTCACGAACAGTGTCACGGCCAGTTCATACCCTGTTAGGGTTGGCATCTACACTAGAGCGAGCGACTGGTTTGCGCTCGAAGGAATGCATTGCCGCAATGCTTAGAGGCTCTGAACGGAAGCTGCAACACATAAGATGCCAGGTGCCCCAGTAACCCCTTTAACAATAGAAGAGGTGGCTGTGGGGCCTG